TACATGCGTATAAAGCACAATATCTTTTGCATTCGATTAAAATTAATAGTCAGTTAGTAAAGATAAATACTATTTTTTTTATTTTTAAAAGTTAAAAACATACATATTTTATTTTCATGAATTTTAAATTGAAACTGATAAAAATGGCTCTAAGAACTTATTGTCGTATTATTCTACTTATAGCCACAATTTTTATTTTTCGACAGATATATATTGTAAATGACGTCAATAAGAATCAAGATTGTAATCAGGAGATATATTTCTTTACTTTCTGCCGATTTAACTCCTTTTTCCTTCTACAATTTTGCACAATTGTGTGCGTTCCGCACTCATGTAGCGCTTCTTACTATTTCACTCGCTACCACTTTCCGCCTCTCTTTGTCGGACTCGTATACAATTTTCAGCCCCAATATTTTTTGGATAAAATGCGCGTGCCGGTGATTGTCGGCGTTTCCTACGTTATTCAGGAACAAATGGACTTTTAAATTGCAGCCACGGGCCCCATCTGTAGTCGGTGCATGGGCGTCGCAGTGGATGCCGATAACGGGTGCGACCGTGCCGTCCGCGACAAATTCGTATCATTATATCTTCGCGTTTACTTCAACGCGTACAACACGCATGTCTCCCGCTTTATTTATGCTGTAATTACGGCACTGGCGATAACTAATTAAGTAAAAAAACCAACAATGGACACGTTCGAGCGAGTTAATCATCGCAATTAATCTCCTGATATTTACGAATTCTTGAATTAATCAATACAGGTCACTTTTTTATGTATATACAGAGAGACGGACTTAAGAAACATTGAAAAGAGCAATCTTTTGAGATTAAATACTTTCCAATAAGTTTACTTTATTATGTAGTTGTTATTAATATTTTTTCTATAATGTATATTTTACTTAATAATTTTTTATATTGACATATTTAAAAATTATATTTTTAAAAGCTAATTAAACTTCTTTGCTTTAGTCGTATATTTAGTAAAATGTATATATGTTATTCTGCGACTTTTAAAAAACCATTAATAATATTTTAAAAATTTAATCAAATTTTTTGGCGGAGATAAAGTAAAGAATATTACAGAAGTGAAATAAAAAGTTTGCAGGAATAAAAAAAGTTTCGGAATATCGGGAGAAGAAGAAAACTAAAAGTATTTTTTTTTTTATTTCGTTATTAAGTAGCTACGCTATAATTTACTATTCATTAAGTCAAAGACATCTTTCATCTTCACATTTGAGGCCGTATCGTTAAATATAAATAGATGTACCACAAATTATTCCATTTTACATGAATTTGAGAAAAAATATACATTCGTCTACATTTGCTGACGAGAAAAAAATTTTTTTATAATATGCATAATTTTTTAAAAATATATTCTTATAGATTTTTAATATATCGCGATATCTATGTATTTAATCTAAAACGATCGCTGCAACCGCGTTGACACGACTATCACTTCAATTATTAATTGTCTGGTCGCTGTAAAGAGACACTCTTTCGCCAGTTAGAAAACTCCAGATCCACACAAACGAGAACAACAGCCGGGAACGGAGTTCTGAAGAAGTTTCGCTGCCTCGAAAGCGTCGCGACAAATTCGTCCCGCGGCCGCGTTTTCGTATTTACCTCGCACACCGCTTTGTCCTCGCGTAATTACGTTCTGCGGGAGCTTAACGCCCGACAATTACTCGGCGGTCGTCGTTAATTTCCCTCGAAATAAAAGGCGACGACCACTACGGCGGTGACATCGTCGTGAAGCGCAAGACCGAGCCAACCGACGATACCAATCTTACGATTTCCGCGAGAAGCACAAAGACCAATCCCCTTTCCTCTCCTCTCTCTGGACCTACGGATAACGGCCCTTTGGAACAAGGGGGTTTGTCTACGTCGTGGTCTGTCGACACGACTGCAACCCCCTCGACTCAACCCCCGCGGCTGATTATTTTCCGGGCGCCCAAGTCGTGTCGAAGTTAGTGAGCGCGTCGCGGAATTACCTGCTTTTATCGCAGAACAGTTCATCCACTCTTAAGCCAAATCTAATCTACCCTTACAGTCCGGAACGTCGAACTTGTGTATCGGGTCGCAACTTCGTAAAATTGCTACAAAGTGTGCGAGCAAAGACGGACTTCCGTTCTCGCTCTTTGTCGCTAAACAATCGTTCGTTCGTTCATTTGTCTTGTGATGGTCGTTAACGCCCGTCTCTCCTCGTACTCACTGCTACAAAGTTCTTAGCCAGAGAATAGAAATCGATTATGAGGTATTCTCATGCAAAATTGCTATTGTAATTCACCCGTAAAGTGGAGTGTTTCTGCAGAAATAGAATATTTATATCTCTTTATTTAATACGCGTCAAATGATACAGAATGAAATACTAAGTGATAAAATATTATTCCTCGTTTAATTTTACATAGGACTTTATCAAATGATCTTCAGAGAAGATTCAATTTTATATTATTCAAATTGTGAACCTGTTTCTGTTTACCAATTATATTTTTATTTATAATATATAAAATATTCAAATGCTATAGAATGTTTTAAGGAGAGACTAATCTATAATAGAATATCTTTAATTACGTCGTATATATACTTGCGGAAATACTAATTGATTAATTTGCAAGTATATGGCCGCTTTTACTGGCACAGTGTCGTCATCGCTTCCCATTTATATCTCCCGAATATAGTGTTCGTGAGAACGTGAGCACCGTCAAATTTTAACAAGCACATAGGCTATGCGTATACGTACATCAAGTTATATATATATATATATATATATATGTGTGTGTGTGTGTGTGTGTGTGTGTGTGTGTGTGTGTGTGTGTGTGTGTGTGTGTGTGTGTGTGTGTGTGTGTGTGTGTGTGTGTGTGTGTGTGTGTGTGTGTGTGTGTGTGTGTGTGTGTGTGTGTGTGTGTGTGTGTGTGTGTGTGTGTGTGTGTGTGTGTGTGTGTGTGTGTGTGTGTGTGTGTGTGTGTGTGTGTGTGTGTGTGTGTGTATGGAGGAAAGAAGAGAAGACACGAATGTGCCATAAGAGCAGCTTTCGTCGACGAAGTAGTCGTAGCACGCGCCTCGGTAGTAACCCACCTTTATGATCAACGCTCTTAAAAAGTGCATTTTCCCCTTTTTCCTGTTGCAGTGGTAGTAAACGCAAGAAAAATCATCTCGATAGCTATCCTATTAAAATAGCTTTTATAATTATCATTTTAATAACCTTCGACAATTTAACTTGACTCATGCTTGATAAGTTGTCATGTCTCTTAATGATCTTGTCTATTTAGAAAAACGCGTCTGCTATTATAATTAATGTCTCTCCCATTATATTGTCATCCAATTGACTTTTAGCAGAATATTTCTGCTGCTTATAAAGTTGTCTGGTGAAGAGAGTCTTTTGTATGTCTAGTTAATTAATTCATTCGACCTGCGACAGAAAAATCATGCTAGATTTAGCTATTCTTCACTTCTATCAAATCGATACCATTTCATTGACTATTGCGTTTATGGTATATCGCGAGAGTGTGACATCTCATCCCGTAGCCGGTTTACGACGCGGCTGTCTCCAGAAATAAAACGTACGAGAATAGCACGTGGTTTCAAGAAATCGCCACATCGTACGTCGACGTGTCTTCACGAATCCACGGGAAATCACGACGAAGTTATTTCGACGACCGTAAAAGGACCGGTCGAGCAACGAGCGTTGTGTAAATTCCAGAGGAATCGTCTCTCTTACCGGCGAAGGACATGCGAAATACATACGTAATCGCAAATATAACCCATGCTCCAACTATGCCACACGCAAGGAATAAGTTTTTATGGATACCGTCAGTCTGTATCTCGTCACGAGATTGAATTATGTACGAGTTATGCACGGAAAATTTTAAAGACATCCGTACTGCGTACCAGTCTTTTGTCAAAGTCGACCATGAATGATCGATTAAATATTCAAGATACATTGTTCATTGTCGTAAACATAATCGATTATGGACAAGATATAGTAACAGTATGCGTGTATAAGGTTTCACCTTACATGTTTTATTCCGTCATATAAATTCGGCGGAAGATTCCTGTAGGAATGTAAATGCAAATATATTATACGGTACTATTATAATAAATGCTATAAACTAAAGGCAAATTTATGTTAAAATTATTTTATTGTTCTAAGGTCTAAGGAATTTATTGAACGTGTTTGGAATCATCATATTGACATATATATGATTGTAAAATTACACTTCTATGATTGCTTATAATTTCTATAATTATTTAATTATTATTCTTGAAGTTTTTGCAAATTTTGACGTCACTAGTATAATAATAATTCTGTTATATGTATAATCTGTTTTTTATCAAGATTTAAAATCTCGTCGAGTATATTTAAACGTTTAGTGTTTTTCCGTTTCACATGTTTCAGAATTGACATATAATTATACATCTTTAATTGATATATAATTTACTGCACGAACGAGTTTCTAAGGTTGCTTATTGAAGCTACATACGTAACATTATTTAAATAATTGGAATTTTAGAATTCTGCCGCTGCTCGTTAAACCAAGCGTTAACCTTAACCCAATTCTTATACGATTATGCTAATTCAGCAACATTATTGATGTTTATGATACATCCATAATTGCCTCATCCTTACAATGTAAGGTTTTGCGATCATAATTCTTAAATATATCTGAGATCATAAACAAGGCTAATTATTAGCTAGTTGAAGAAGATGATAAAAACAATCGATTTTATACATCATTTATACATCATTTATACATCATTTATATTAAATTTAATATTAAATTTAAATCCCTCAAACAGGAAACAGACTTTTCTATTTTGACTGCAACAACAACGCTTGAGAACTAATTTTTTTATCTTGACCGCACTCATCAAGAGTTATCTACGTTCTTGCGACATCATTATAGCTGATCACGTGTCCGCCCCTCATCGTGTTCGTATCGGACGACTGGTCACGTTAGCGATCGCGGTTTTTACCGTGCCTGCATTCAGTTGTACTAAACATCATCATCGCGACGTATCTCTCATTGTCGGTCCTCGATCGGCAACGCCGTTACATACGTGCGTGCATATATGTATGCCTTCACGCGGCAGGTGCATCGCCAGGTGATTGTCAGTCGAATCACGAACGCGCACGATACTTGCGACATTCTCGTCGCTCAGTCGTCGCTCGAGACGTGCACGTAGCATAAAGAAATGTCGAGGGACGTTGGAAAAGGTATGCGTGTACGGTAGATTTATTGTGTGAAATTTTGTGTAGCTCGAATGCATTTAATATTTTCATATTGTTCTTTGAATATCCAGTTCCGCACCTCGATTCGGTTCGGTCGCGCACTTTAGTCTTCATAATTAATACAATCTTTCCATCGGTTCTCGCTAAACATTAAGTGACGATATTGTGCGAAATGGTTTTTCTAAGATGATTGGAAATCGTGTACAGTTCATTAAAGTTTATCACTCATAAATATGACTCATAAACTAAGCAACGTTACTAAGCAAAATATAAAATAATGAAAAAATTATATCATATGTCATTGTATAATAAATATCTGATAGTTTAGTGTAAAAACTATCAAGTGCTAAAATTATAATTATAATTTCATGCTTTTGTTCCTTGTGACACTAAGATTTTCCATCTTCTTTGTTTTAATTTTTAATATTGTTTTGTTTGTAAATTTTGCTTTTTAAAATTAAAATATATATATATATATATATATATATATATATATATATATACTTTTATTATATTATTCACGTCTTTTTAATAAGTCTAAAAAATTAATTTCTAGAAAAATATGCGTGTCAGAAAGATTTCGTGTAAATATCAAGCATGCAAATATATGTAAATTTTATGATAAGTATCAACATTAATTAGTCATAAATAGATTGCGTTATGAAAAAGGAAAGTGAGTTTTAGGTGAAACGTTCTTTTAAAATATACATTTGACGCAATATAAGATGTGGGAATTCGGTTCACGTTACTTCTTATAAGCGTTATAGAAAGTGTTTCTTGAGCTATCATGCTTCAATAGTAGAGGTAATACAGGTTCTCAAGGACTTGAATGAGATAAATGTTACATATGCAAGCGATCAATAATCAATATTAGCATTTGAATATTAGCAGGTATTTGAATATTAGCAGGGTATTCTATTTAATCTGTGACTCTATATGTAAAATAAAATTTATACGTATATTTATATTTATATTACTTATATTGTTTATATTTATAAAATAAAATTTCTTAAACGGAAAAATGAAAACGAGACAATTAATGGAATGGTTCGTAAACAATTTTGATTTGAATTACGTTAATCTATAAAACTCATTTTAATGAGAGAAAGAGAGCAAATTAAATGAAAATTTCATGACAAATATAACACCATTTGATAAGTTTTGAAAAAATAAATTCAACAAGACCTATAATGTTAAAAATCTATCTTCGATATTACTATAGTAACGAATTTTTGAAAGGCTTTTTGAGATATCGATTTCTGTTCGGTCAATACATTTATGTCGATATCTTAAAAACGATCGGACTCGGACAAAAAACGAAAAAAGTTCTTTTAATGAAATTACTTTGATGTGATTTTCAAGTTGAAGCAACCGTATTTTAATGAGATATCGAGGTTAAATTTTTTACATGAATAAATGACATCACTCGGTAGATTTCGAAGAGACAAACCCAATGACCTATAATGTAAAAGATCCGATTGTTTTCAAGGTATCAACGTGGATAAAATGATTGATCAGAAATCAATATCCTTGAAAAACCACTTTCAAAAATTTATTACTGTCGTAATATCGAAAATCATTAGAGGCCTCTTAACATTGTAATCGTTAAATTCATCTCTTTAAATCTCATCGAGTGATGTTATATTTGTCGGGGTTTCCATTTAAAAAATTTGCTTTTTTCTTCGCTACAATGAGTTTCATAAATTAGTGTAATTCAATTTAAAAAATTGTCATCTCATTGTCGTATATATATAATATTTAAATTTATATTGATTTAAATTTATATTAATATAACAAAAATCTATGAAAATAAATTTTTTATTTTATATATATTTGGAAATATTTTTTATACATGTCGAACGTTTTTTGCACTTCCAGACACATAAAATACTTATCTTGTATACAAATAATTATCTTTAATGAAGGAAATTAACTTTAAATTTCAAAACTTTTGCTAATTATATGTATGCAACGTAATGGTATAATTGATATATATACATATATATATATATATATATATATATATATATGTACATGTGTATCGATATAATATTAAATGTGTTCGCATGATAAATTTAATTTAGTTAATCATATGCGCTTGAGAAAAGGAAGTTATACACCGACTGTAAAATAAAAAACGGAAACATAAATGGACTATTGATAAAGCATTGTTTTCATAAAATTTTGTGGAAATAATAATTTATTTACAGTATATATAATACGCAATAATGACGAAAAATACTTTTGAGCAAACGATAATTTAAAATTCGTTGATATAATGCTGTTTTTATTTAATATTGTAAATTAAAGTTAATCTTGCAATTTATATATAGCGTGCATGATTATTTTGTGTGCTTCACATTTCGTCGCGTGACATTTATAACAATATATACTAATCAAATAAAACATATAATAATCTGTAATGTGCAAAAATTATAAACTTCTCTCATTAGATTGCTATTAGAAATACTAAAAGTAATGCAAAAGTAGTCATCTAATTGGGCAGAATATATAAAAGTTGAGTAGCTAAATATGCTACATATCTTTGGTATAGTTTTTATTTTTATACGCGCACTATACATATTATGTTTTACATTTCTTCATTATTACTTTAAAACATATATTCGCTATCATGTCTTATCAAAACATGGCATATATGAATTCTGTTTAATTAGATAGATGGTTGCTCTTTTCATATTTCATCATGAATTATATATGTATGAATTATATATGTACATATTAACAATCTAGTATAATATATAGAAGTTTGTTATAAAAATACTCTTGAACGACTCTTAAACGACTTATATCAATAATACCTAAGAAAAAATATCATATAATATTGATGGCGTTCACGTAAGTTGATTAGCATGAATCAACATTCAACATTCCAGGTTCTTAGCTAAGTATCATAAAAATGCATTCGCGAAAACTCGAAATGTCGTAATTATTAACATATGCTGTCATGTATGTTATTAACATATACTATCATGTGACGATTATGCACATTTACAAGTTTGAAAGTTTTCTTATGTTTATTTAATGTGTTATATAAATTATAATAAATATTTTTTGTTAATTTTAAAACTTAATGTAAGCGTAATAATATAATATTATGTTTAATTTATGTTTATATAATCTGATATATTTTTATGAAATTATGAAATTATTGTTTATCAAATTTTATTACTAAATTATCAATTATTAAATATGAAAAGGATAATTATGTACAAAATTTAAATATTGATAATAAATTGAAAATTATATAAATGCTATTGTTGTATTTTAATCATAAATATTAAAACATTAAAAGAAATATTAGCGAATAAATAATTATTAAAAAACATGAAATATTAACTAGAGCTAAAAAATAGATTAGGAGATAATCTATTATAATTTAATCTTTTTAATTAATTTAGAAATTCTTGTAAATTTAAAATTTAACTTTAACTCTATCTATTAAATTCTGTAGTACAAGAATTTTAATGTAATTAATATAATTTTTTAAATATAAGTCTTTACAACAATACAATTATATAGTAGCACTTTATATATAATGTATTTCATAAATTATTCATAATTTATTCATAATTTTATATACATTGTGTGAATATAATAAATCTTTTTCGGCAAATAGCCTCCTCAATCAAAAATATTCGAATAAGAATTTAAAAAATATTGTTCAAAAATATGTACAATTTTAATCTTGATTGTAGATTTTTTGGCAAGGTCTGAGACCGAGCAGTTATTATCTACTGACACATGCGGTGCCGCATCAGAAAGACTTCAGCGATGGTCGACGGATAAGTCGTACCTTCAAGATGACGTGTCGTCATCAAAGTCAACTTCTCAGGACAAATCCGCATTGAATCATAACGTACAGATCGGGGAAACCTCGAGTAATCCGACTACTGTGATAACGCTCTCTTCAATTACCATAAATGACAGTGAAGATAATGACGATCCGCCACCTTACAGCGCAATCGCGCTACCAAATCACGCTGGTTGGCCATATGGACTTTTTTCATTCGGCAACAGATATTCCACAGACGAGGCGACCTGTAGGGTGCAAATACCATTGACACCTTTCCAAGCATCTTTAATACCAACTACAGACTTCCATTTCCAAGGGATTAATGGTCAACATGCATTGTTACCGATGCCTATAACGCCAGAGCAGTTTTTCAAGTTGCAGTGTAATAGAAATTCTTTTGCACCGTATATAGATAATGGGATCGCGGAAAAAACTAATGATAAAAAATCACGAAGTGAGTATCGGTAATAAAAACTTGTAATTGCTTTATTGTATATTTTTTAATTAGAAGTTTTTACTAAAAAATTTATCTATATATTTAATTCTGGAATTGCTATTTTATTTATATATGAGATTAATATAGCGTATGCTTTTTAAATTTATTTAAAAATTTTTGTTCACATTTTTGAATAAATTAAAATTTAATTTAAAAGAGTTTTTTATATGTCAAGAAGAGAGAGAGAGAGAGAGAGAAATGAAAAAAAAAATTTTCTTCGTCAAGAAAAAAATACCATTAGGTAATTTGTAAAAATTGTACAAAGAAATTATTTATTATTTATTATTTCATTCCAATGCGTGTCTTGAAGTAATTAAATAAATCAGTATACACATTTTATTATCTCTTTTTAACATTCGTGAAGAGATCGATATTTTAATTTTAACACAATCATAAATTAATGATTGTAGCAACATTCAGTTCTCAATAACAAGATTGAATTTAAAAATGGTCAAAATTAGCGACCGTCTGTTAAAAATAATTGCGATGGACAAAAGAAAAAATCTAAAATTAATAACTTTTAACAGGATACGGCGCTATTCTTGTGGCAGCGGCGGTTATCATCTTTCTTATGGTTCTGTCCCTAATGGTTCGTTTCATCATGGAGAGGAGTTGGTGGCGAAGATAGCTTGTCGATGAAATTAGCAATTTTTAAAATGTTTATTAATAAATCCACAAAAGATCATTTATAAACGATCATTTATTAATCTGTGATTAGATCTTAGTGCATAACGTAATTTTATTTTTAAAATATAGACATTAAGACATTTATAAGACTTTCATATTAGTTATTATATTTCCAATTAATCTTTTTCCATATTTTCATTTACATTGATTTTGAAATTATAAATGACAAAATTTTAGAATATTTATCAATATTAATATTTTGATTATGTCATGTTTTCAGTGTCAATATACAGAATGTAAAACATGTATATATTATATATAAGATCCGATAGTCATTTAAATTTTATTTTATATCTCACAAATAATCACCAATTTATGCATTGCCATTTTCTAAATATCGAAAATGTTAGATTTTATATTATACATTACATAACTTGTTCATTATATTTATACGTATATTGGTATAAAAGGATATAACTAAGGTTATCATAATATTACGCAGACATTAATTTTCGATTTTCTTCATCAAGAGATGAACAATCATACAATGTATTTAAAAAAATATGTGAGCGTAATTAAATTCGTTTCTGTCGATTCTTGATTCTTATTCTGATTGTATTTATTCTTATTTAGATTGCATGACGTTTACTGTAAATAATGAAAAATGCATTTGGATATTAATAATTAATAAATAAGGAAACTAATAAATATATTTTTTTCAGAATAAGAATAAGAAAATTTATATTAAAGCGAGGGAAGTCTATCAAATGTAAATAGTATATACGTTTTACAATTAATAATATCAATGCTTATGTATTTATTCAGCGACTTATTGTATGCAGAATATCTATAAAAAGATTAGAACTAAATTTATGCAATGTATTAATGAGCTGAAAGAGGAAAGAAATTCATATAAACCAATATTCATAAACGTTTTATTAATGGGTTATAAATTTTTCAAAGATCAATGAGTAAAATTGTTTTTACAACTTTATTAAAACTTTAAATAGTATTAGATGCTGACTGAGAAATAGATAATTCTAAGTTATTGTTTATCTTAACCTATACGATCTTTAGTCTAGTCTTTTATCACATGTTTTGTTTATTAGATTTCATTTAATTTCAATGTCATAATTCTGACGTTTGAGTTGGGATTTGTGTGATTACAGTAAACAACTACGTTTTTTCTGAATTATGCGATACGTATAATAATATGTCTGTGATTTTGTCTAACAAATTATAGGAACAATTTTAATCGCGAATCTTTGAGCGCTTATAATTTTTTAGTAAAGTATTTTCGAATATAGATTTATATGAACTTTTTCATTTATATGCAATCTCATCAACACATTATATAAATTTTGACTTGTGCCTTTATGTGTGGACACTCTGCATATTACATTATTAAATATATCATCAAACATCAAGAAGTTATAATGAGAGTTTTAATGATGATATTTGACTTTATTAGGGCATACGCTTTAATTACAATATGGGTCTCTCATTCGCGTCAGAATGCTATTATAATTCTAATTATGTTTAACAGTTTTGTTAAACCATGGTTATTCTGATAAACTCAGTTTTAACCCCATATCTGAAACGATGTTCCCTTCAGTATCCCTCGGATCAATTAATAAATAATGCATCGCGAGGGAAATTAAGTAGTTAAGTAATTCACACTGTGTAATGAGACTAGAGTTTTATTTATGAAGAAAATTATATCTATAAGCATATGTATATTATTCGTTTGTAGATAAATGCATGTAAATCATAAATTATATACACACAAACAATTAATTGATATGACTTTATAAGTATTTTTTTCTTCAAAAAAATAATTTTATATCAACATAACTTTATATATAAATTAATTCAGTCGTAGTTATCGAACACAAAGAATCACATTTTCTTCAAATAAAATTATTTGTATCACAAAAAATTATACATTGTATTATGTATTTATCAGTTATTATTATCAAGTATATTTATCAATTTATCCGTCTTTATTTATGTAATTTATAAATCTCTAACTAATTAAAATGTCATTTTTTGATGACGTTATACAAAGTTCATAATTATTTGTCAAGACTGTTATCTGTTTAACGTAGGAACTTCGACGCTTATTGGTCCGATGGGACGCCGATGACGAAGTAGTGAAAGACCGAGAAGGAGTAGACAACGTCGTGGTGGAAGAGAAGGTAGCTGAGCAATAAAGTTAAGAAAGGGAAGGGTAAATGGAGGCGCTCATCGTATACTGATTAAAAATACAAACTGGTATCTCTTGAGAATAGGTGATCAGAAAAGTCTGGATATCCCGGGAGATGTGAAAGTTTGTAACTGAAGGTAAATTCTCAAGATGAAGATGGATAAAGCTACTAAGAGCATAAGTAGACTTTTAGTGTAACTAAGTTCTAAACAATAGATATTTTTCTAAGTACCATGTGCATGTACATATATATTCATGTATTTTTAGTAAATTTTATATTTAAAAAATAAGAAATATTGCAATGCTTCCATAAAATTGCTGAATGTATATTTTGCCAAAACCCTCATTAATCTGAACATTTGCAATTCAAATTTAGATTTTTCTTTTGACCAGCACTTAAATATGCAAAATGATTCTACACGCATCTTCGTACACGTTAAGACGCAAAATTGCACGCACACATAATTTTTATAACGCTTTGAAGTCCGGGTTTCTTGTTGAAAATATATGATAATAAAAGGGCCTCATAAAACAAAAGAGCGAGGTCGATTTTCCTCGGCCAGTGGTTTGTGCAAAAGCCGAAGAGGATCAAAGATGATAGAAGTTTAATGCAGGACGGGAAGCCTCAAGGACGAAAAGGAACGCTGGCTATAAAGCCAGACAAGTTAGCGGCCAGAGTAGCGAGGAAAACGAAGGGTCGGAGGGTTGATGAAAAATACAAAAATCCTCTCCCTTGAAAGGATAAAGGGAATGGCGGCGGGTTCGTGCCAGGAAAACGACACGACGCCAGGACACTCGAGGCTAGCAGGCCCGCGAACGAGGGTAAGGTGTTTGTCAACGGTTGCTGGTAGTTAATTACTTTACATGAAAGGAACTTCCAGCCGTTTCGCCACTCGAGGCAACCTCGGTTCCCGCGTGCCATCAATTCCTCCCTCTTCTCCCCCTTGCATTTCCTTCGTGGACTTAACATCACCCCTCACGTCCCTCGTCCTTCTGTCACCTGTAAGAGTTTACGAGTATCTAATCCACCAGACGGGTCATACTCACTCTGCAAACGAGGCCTCTATACTCTCGTAGCGACTTCGCTAAAGAGGATGATTGCACACGAATATCTGTGTTCAGAACTATAATGTTTATTGCACGTTTCCATTTAATTTACATTTAAATAACCAAAACAATGCGTTGACATTTTAATTTGATAACTTTAAAATTTTTTATGAGATATAGAAGTTTAAAGTTGTTTTAATCAATTTGCTTTTATAATGTACGATAATGACACATTTTTAGATGCATCATATTTCTAACTTTTCGATTTTTAAGAAAGAGATACGGGACACACAAAATTTCTTATTTTTATCATATTAAAACTTTAATTAATAAATTCTTTACCTCAATTTTTATGCAATTCAATTTTCTTCAATGGAATTATTAAAATTAATTGCATAATTGAATTAAAAAACAAATATTTATTTTAATTAAATTTTTTCTAATGGAAAACTACCAAAGTTAATTAAAATTACATAATTAAAAATTAGAAAATATATCCACACACAACATATATAATACATATAATACATATATAAAAAAGTATTTCTCTTTCTCTCTTTCATGCGAATAAATATTTATTCTTTTTTGTGGTTTGAATAATTTAAAAAAAATACCGAATCAATCTTAACGTTTTACTAATTTAACAAAGAGACCAAGATGTGAAAAATTAATGTTCATATTTTTGAAACAAACAAGTCGAAGAATTTTTTATCCTGAAGGAAAATATAAAAGCAACATTAAAAATAAAAAATAAAAGAAGGAAAGAGTTCTTTTATATGCATTACCGCAATTGTATGCAAGAAGAAAAAGCAGCTCGTTTCATAAACTGTACTTGCTTTAGCAACCATTTGCAGGATATTATCTCTTGAAGATTTCATCTTCTTTATATGTACTTTGTTGGATTGCATGCATAGACTCGAGAATGCAGACGTGCATATTTAAAAACGTATGAATTATTAATTATAAATCAATCATGATATTTTATTTATTTTTCATAATATAATATCTTCAATTTTCTGTTACTTGCTATCGTCTGTTATCAATATCAAATTGTCACTGAACATTATGCAATACACTTTTACATCGTATGCACCATAATCGAAGTTTATAGATATTCCGCAGTTTACAAAAGATTCTTCGCGGGGATGGTGGCGATATTCGACACGTCTGAGATGTATATAGTTCCACTCGATGTGTGTGCATGCATGCGTATATATTTCGAGCAAAGAGTTTTCGCGATGTTTCTTCCTCACTCTCGTAACAACGCGGAAACAGAAATAGTAGCATAGCGTGTGTGGGCGCGATACATCATTCATATATACCCGAATCTCATATCGGTTTCTGATCCTCCGGCTATGATGGCTTTTGAAGGGCCACTTCCCCCTCTCGCATCTCACCCCTGTACTCTCAGCCGCTCTGTTTATTGTTACGTCGCATTTATGCATGAACCCTCGCGATTCTATTGTCACGAACACATGACGGACTACATTGGGCGCGGGAGAGAACGCTTCGTGCTTTCTGAGCGGAAGTCGGTAGCGGCGTGAATGGAGATGGGGTTTATTGGGCCAAAGAGAGAGGGAGGGAAAGAGAGAAAGAGAGAGAGAGAGAGGGAGAGGGAGAGAGAGCGGAAATCGATGGCATGGTTCTATCTTGCCGAGAGCGTGTGACCTTCCTACCGTGTGCGGCTCTTGAAAGCCAGATTACCGTTTCTCTCGTGTTTTTAATTACACGCTCGTTGCCTAAACGTTTCAGCGGGGTGTTTAACGCCCATTCTTACTTGTAACTCGCGTTTTTAGTACCATGAAACTCGCCCTTTGTAACAGACTTTCCAGCAAAAGAGAAATATAAAGTTAAACAATATATATCCATAAGGTATCGTCAATTTATTTTTATTAAAGATTTTTATTAAAATTAATAATGATAAGATTTTCATTATCAAAAATATAATTTAAAATTTTGTCCCTTTGATAAGTGATTAGAAATATTTCGAGGACGGATCAGCGATACTTGAAAGGCAGGAATAACGGAAGAATTGCCATTGTCCAACTATCTAGATTCTATCTCAAGGTCATAATCTCGCGAAGGGTAGATCTGAAGGGTGTAAGGTCGGAAACGCGGGTTAGATCAGTGGCGCTCGCGGGGACGGTTAAACGAGGAGGAAGCGCTTCGACGACGTCGTTTCCGGCCAAGTCTGATGCGTCTTGACTCGAATCCCGACGTTATCGCGACAATTGAATGGGTCGAGTCCTCCTTGCTTTGGCACTGTCGCTGCGCGACTATGATAAGCCTCAGAAACAGCCTTTAATGGTTTCCTTCGCGATTGCCCGTATCTATATCCTCGATTCAAGCCTGTC